TGTAGCTCCTATCCATTGAATTTCATGCACCAAAAATATTAAGGTTTACTTGCATTCCCTGTTCAATTCTAGTCCAGAAAACTCTCATCTCAAAAACTACAAGCTCTACTAGCAAGAATGTTTCAAGTCCTGCATTTTTCATTGCTACACAAATATAAATTAATTAATCATGGTGGAATCTCTTGTGGGCAGCATGGTGGCGCAACTAGTAGAGCTGCTGCCTCTCAGCGAGCAGGTCCCTGGTTCAAATCCCAGTCCAGGGGCCTTTCTGGGTGGAGTTTGCATGTTCTCTCCGTGCATGCGTGGGTTTTTTTCCGGGTACTCCGGTTTCTGCCCAATGACCAAAAAACATGCATGTTAGGCTGATTGGTAACTCTAAATTGTCCCTAGGTGTGAGTGAGAGTGAATGGTCGTTTGTCTCTATGTGGCCTTGGGATGGACTTGCGACCCATCCATGGTGTACCCCGCCCCTCGCACAGTGATTGCTGGACATGGGCACCGGCAACCCCCGTGACCCAAAATGGAAGAAGCGGGTAAAAGATAATGGATGGATGGAATCTCTTGTGTGTTTTTGTTCACTTAAAATTAGATTTAAATATGTTTAGAACCTGCTTAGAAACCTAGAATTCAAAAAGAGTGTGGTCTTTTTACTTATGAATGCATTATTTATTTTTTTTTCCTGTGTGGGCAGCACGGTGGCACAACTGGTAGAGCTGCTGCCTCTCAGCGAGCAGGTCCTTGGTTCGATCCCCGGTCCAGGGGCCTTTCTGGGTGGAGTTTGCATGTTCTCTCCGTGCATGCGTGGGTTTTCTCCGGGTACTCTGGTTTCCTCCCACTGACCAAAAACACGCATGTTAGGCTGATTGGTAACTCTACATTGTCCCTAGGTGTGAGTGAGAGAGTGAATGGTTGTTTGTCTCGTTTGTCTCTATGTGGCCCTGTGATGGACTTGCGACCCGTCCAGGGTGTACCCTGCCTCTCGCACAGTGATTGCTGGACATGGGCACCAGCGACCCCCGTGACCCAAAATGGAATAAGTGGGTAAAGATAATGGATGGATTTTGTTGTGTTTTTTTTGTTTTTTGGGTGTGTAGTTTGAAAAACTCCATCAGTATAGTTTTAGTGTATTTTTTTTTTGTCCATTCTTATCCACCAGTGAATATGTTTTTGTCTACACATTTGGTTTAAGTATCCTGCTAGTCAGTGTATCACTCAGAGGTGCAACTCCTTAGAAAGTCAATGGTTTAATCAATGTTTATGGTCAATAGTTCGTTTAACAGGTGAGGCAGTTGTACAGAGACAGGTCAACCTGTGGGATAAACCAGGCATCTGTTTATAATGAACACGCACGACCTGAGAGAAAAAAGAATGGGATAAAACATGTAATATCTGCTTTGGGTCTGATTTTATATTCACAGGCATCCAGGGGGGTTCCATTAAGCTGAATACCCTAGCTGAGTTGTTGGAGATGCCTGCACTGCTGCGATTACCACTCCCTGAATTGCCCCAGCTCCACCATGGTGGATATGAGGGGCACCAGTGGGATTGTTAGATGACTTAAATCTTAGAAACTACCAACTTCCAAAGAAATGTTTATCCTCTGTTCATCTGCATGCTGTTTGGAGGCTGCATTTAAATATGGTTGTGTCTTTGTTTTAAAACTGAAGATATATGGCTTGTGTATACTTGAGGGTCAAGTGTTATCAGTCTTGACATACACATACTGTCACAACCTTTGCTGTCAGTCATAGTATACATAATCATGTATATTAATTCATTTGATATATTACTACACACTCACACACACATGCATACATTTACTTCAAGAGCCCAGTACTCACCAACACCCCGTCCTCATCTCTGCACTTCTCTACACCCTCAATAGGCAAGGGGGAGGTCTTATCTTTGCAAAACACTCAGTCCAACTCCCCACTTACTAAAAGGCTTTACAGGCTAATCTTTAGCTCAGACAAGTGCCTGGGCAATAGACGAAGACTGAAGTAGAGGGAGGAAGAGACACCGAGAAGGGAAGCAGAAGTGTAAAATAAGGAAAAAAAAAAAAGCTTATTACAGCTGATTTATGTTTGTCTGATTGTACTATGTCCCTGCCACACGGATATATATGTACTCCACCTGACTTTCTCCCCTCATTCATATTTTCTCAGTTCCTTGTGGAAGCAACATCACATCAGACAATGGGACCATCTTTTCCCCTGGATACCCAGAGGAGTACCCAAACTCAGCAGACTGCTCTTGGCTGATTTCAGTTGTTCCTGGCTTTGGCATAAAACTCAATTTCACTCTGCTTCAGGTTCATGGCCCACATGACTTCATCACTGTCTGGTAAGAAATAATATTTGTCAAGACTGTAGATGAACAGATGCTGGGATATATTCATCATTTAACGCGGGTTCCTCATTTTTCTGGACTGAATAAAACGTGCATTGAATTTAAGGAAAGGCAAACGTGAGACGTCATTTAAATTTGACCCATCAAAATGAATGCGGTCATTTATTTACAGAATCAAATTTAACATCAAACATTTACATTAATTTGGCAAATTATGAAAATAACAATATAAGCAATCAATCAGGAAAAATCATACGGCCATGATTTTTCCGTTGCTGCACCAAAGACATTTATGAAAACTGTACAACTATGATCTTTTACCCACATGAATGTGGGTGAGCATTTTACACAGACATTTCTAAATATCTGGAAGAATTTCTACTTGATAGAAAAGTTTAAAGATGGAAAGAAGTTTAGAGGGAGTTAAGATGGTATGTGAGGGAAATTAAGTGTTCACCAGAATCGACACTCTCCGGCTTTCTTCAGCTTTTCCTTACAGTACACTTAGGTGATGAAATCGGCTCCTTTACCTGGAGATGTCTCAGGTGAGATTCCGTTTAACGCACCCTTTCAGCGTCTCAGTAGGATGCTGTTACTCGTCCGAAGTAATGGCGAGGCTCTGTTCGACACATATTCGCCTCAGTGGAAAATGTTATAACTCCATCAGAACTCAGCAGAACTTGAGTAGACTCTCACCGAACTCTACGCTCTCAGAACTCTTAGAACTCCGACAACTCTCTGAGTCCATGTAGACCAGGAAGTACTGACATTTTAAAGACTCTTTCCCGGTTCACTTTTTGGGATTTGTTCATTGGTCAGAATCGACCAGAAGGGGTGTGTTTTTGTGACGTAAGAGGTTAGAGACAGCGAGAATTGTTATGAGACAGGTCAGAAATGTTCTCACAGACCGAGAGGGTTTTGTTTTGGCGTGTTTCAGGAAACAGGTGCAAAACATCTCTACTTACGTCTGAGAGGATTCTAAAACATGACAGTTTTAACATAACAACTTGTTTTTCGTTTGACTGTAACCTTGTAAACGCACACACTTGCTCATTCAAAAGCAGAAATCAGAAAAATGCATAATTACTCTGTAACAGCTTTTAACATGAGTTCTAACTGCATGAGAATAAAAATCATTACTCAGTTAATAAAATTGATTAGTTCACTGCAACATCTAAAATGGTTTGAACTAAGACACTTTGATTATCAACATTTGTGGTAGTAATGATAATAAAAAAGAGAGTGTTCTTTTCACTTGAATCTTCAAGAAAGAAAGTCTCAGGATGGGTGAACCTGTATTTATGTATTCAAATACATGAAATGACAGTTCCTGTCCCACAAGGTTCTAAAGGTCAAGAGTTTTGACCTTAGACTTAGTTTCGACGTAGGCCTAGTCCACTACAAGACAATAATGCAAAAGCATTACCTTAATAATGATTTAGATACTATATATATATATATATATATATATATATATATATATATATATATTGACATACTAATAATAATGATTTATTGTGGAAAGTATTCTAATTTAAGAAAGAACTGCATCAAAAATAGTCAATTAAAAATATATAAAATATTTTCAATATGTAGAAGGCCAATGTACTGTATGGTTTATGTTTGACTGAAAAACTGCACTGACATCTTTATTTAATCACCATTATACTACTTAGCTTTACCTGCGGTATGTACAACCACATACATGATTTTGTATGCATGGTGATTTCTAGTCCCAGCTGATTGGCTGTTTTTGAGGCAGTCTCAAACAGTTTCAGCTCTCAGTGTGACCAGAGATGTTGCTACCAGTCACCTTGGCAACTTGACAACCACCCAAGCCCACACAGAGTGGGTAGACATCTACTGTTTTGGCACCATTTGTCAAGACTTTTTTGAACATGGAGTGTTTATGGTGACCTTGTAAGAGTGAACCAAATATATATATATATTATTTTTTTTTGGAAATGACACCCAATGTGATCTTATATAGCAAGTTCCTGGGGAGCCAAGATGGAGACTATCACGTTCCCCACTTCCTGTTACCACCACTGTGTATCTATCCACCAATCCACTAAGCCAAGGAAATGGTCTCCGTAATGGTGGCTTGGCTAGAGTGCTGTCAGACAGCAGTCCCCAGTCAGCCGTTTTCAGAGCTGCTTGTAATCTCCAACGCCCAGTCTGACAGCCAAAGACAGATGGTTTTTAAGCTGAATGTTTGTGGCAGAAATCTGGGAGCTAACTTAATTGGCCATGCCCACACCAGGGGACTGCCAAAAGCAGGGCCACAGCGTCCAGAGACACTCCTGCTGGATGTTTGTTAATGGTAGCAATGCATTCTAGAGCTGCCGTCTGACTGCTCACTGTAATGTCTTCCTTATTCTATCATATTTACTGAAAGCCAGTCAACATAATTGGTTTGAATTTGATGAAATGAGAACAGCTTAATTATATTTTGCTGTTGGAAGCTTTTTGACAGTCATATGGCCTGCTTTGTCGCTGAGCTTTTATTTCAAAGCCTCAAAGGGCTGTATAGAAATGAGCAATGGCCATCTTCTTGGAGTCATTGATAGTTATGAAGTTGACCTGTGACATTTCTACTTTTTAGGGATGGTCCACAGGAGACAGCCAGGAAACTTGGTGTGTTCACAGATGGAGAGCCCAATGACCCACCGAGTAGCACATCCAACCAGGTGCTGCTACGGTTCCATAGTAACGCAGAAAAGGGTGGGTTGTTCAGCATTGGTTATCAGGGTATGTATATATTCTTACTCTATAATTTCCCCTTATAAGCTATTGCCATATAGTATAATCTGTTTGTCTCCTTTCATCTCTCTGATGTTCTAAATAAAGCTTACAGACTGCAGCACTGTTTGCCTCCCCCCATCATCCCTAATGCAGAGATCCTGATGGCAAGCAAAGAATTTAAAATTGGTACGTACAAATGCTGTCACAAGATAAAACACACACATGTAGACAGATAATTGAATAGAATAGAATAGAAACAGCCTTTATTGTCCCACGGATGGGAAATTCAAGTGTAAGCACAGTTATCAAAGCCCTGCTGTCTTTTTGTTTTAATTTTTGTTCCATTACGACTTGAAGAATGCTAGCATTTAAACAATTTACTGTATGTCACTGTCAAATTACATTCTGCCTTTGACAGTTTACATTAATTCAGGTCCACTGGCTAAACAAACCATTAGACAACGGTTTTGTAGATATACCCACTACATCTTCAATTATCTTGTGATTCTTTTGATCCCATTATAGATACAAATCTAACAATATATCCATAAAGCTATCAGGATGTGGGACTTTTGCACTTATTCTTGTTTTCTTCAGGGAATAGAGATTGCATTTCTTCATTTTTGTTTTCAAATCTATACAATTTGTTATTCAGCCACAAATGTAACAGTGGTGAAATTGTGCTTCACCTATAGTGTCTTTTGACAGATCATTATGGTAATTTTCTTTCATACCGCTAACACATTTTCCTTTGTTTCTCTGACATCACTATCAATTATTACTACCGGTACTTTTGTGGTAAATGTGAATTCTCTTGTTGCCACCGTTTATTCCCTGCAACCTTTCTTCTTTTCCATATTTATTTCCAGGTGACATAGTGCGTTACAGATGTCTTCCAGGTTACCAGTTGAGTGGAAATAGCATACTGACCTGTCGATTAGGTACACACTTAGAGTTTGGGGGCCCTCCACCTTCATGTGATGGTAAGAGATTGTGTATGCTCTGATAAATTCCTGGATTATCTATCGGATATCGGTAGAACACTGTGGCAGGCTGTTGTAACATAAAATGAAACCACACTTGTATTCCTTATGACTCAACAATATTTAGTTTTTGTTCAAACAGTATTAAACTAGTCAAATTTAAGAATAAAGTTGTATAAAATAAAGTTCCTGCAACTACCAGTTGCATTTAAAGTTCCACACAACTAACAGTGTATCAAAAAGTTGAAGTTGCCAAATTGATTTTATGCTTTTGCCTTATTGGCCTGAATGGATCTATATCGTGATATCACACAATTCAAATCTGAGTCAAACGGAGCATTTTAGATGTCCAGTGATGTTTTTCTTATCTACAGTCAAAATATCGAAACATTGTTTTTTTTTTTTTAATACAAATGAGATCACTTCTCAACATTTATATGGAATAGGTTAATAGGTTTTCTATATTAGATACCTACTGTTTTCATTTTAGATTGAAGAGTTGTACCTGGGGTTGTTCGGAGCTGAAAGCCCAGTACTCATGAGTGGATGGAGTAAAGTTTTTGTCCCACACAGATGATATAATTTGAGATACATGCAATGTTGACTGTGGATAGATAAAATAGCATCATATTTGGTGTAGTGTTAGCTGTACGTCATCCACAAGACTTGGCAATTTAATAGATTGCTTATTATCCTTGTTAAAATCTTCTGCGTGCAAGGTCAATATATATCTTTAAGGTTTGCAACTTTCATTTTTGTCAGGAAACCATTTAATTATTGAAAACTACTTTGGATAACTTCTCATTATGGAGAAAAATCTACTTGCTTTTGACCAATGGTACCTAAAGGATTTCTCTTTGTGATTTTTCCCCATTTATTTATCTATAGTACGTTTTAATAAAGTGTAATTTTTGTTTTTGTTTGTGCACCTACACATTAGTACAGTACACAACATCTTCACATTTACTCTCTGTATGAACATTTGTTAACCCAGCTTAATTTTGTGTGATGAACAGTTTATATTGATGTAATTCATGTTCACTTTATTCATATGCAGGTAAAACATGGCATTTGACTGCTATACACATTTCTATTCAATCCCAAATATCATACAAATAAATTGATGAAATGGTTTAGAAGGAATTGCATTTAAGCAAAGCCTTTTGATTTTATAGAATGCAAGATTGAGCATGTCATGTCATTTATCATATTGCTTAATTTATTTATAGTAACTCTGCATGTAATCTGCTGCTTAGAACAAGTTTCTTGTCTATTGATAAAAAAGTGCAGGTGCTGCCCCAACATTTAAATTACTGACATTTAAAGTGTAGCATTAGTCACTGTGTTATACTGCAATGTATTTATGGGAAAGCCTCACGTCTTTATTTTTAAAGGAATGTTCGACACTCAACCATCTACTTAAACTCCAATCACAGACTGTACAATAATAGCACTTATAACCCCTAAAATAGCAGTGCAGTGTAACAAATAGCTTCAGAGCTTAAGCAGTTGGTTATAAATCAGGTAAACACTGCTTTCATCTGCTGAAAAGGGTCTTGCTAGTTTACTTTTAGCAGGGTTAAATCATTGTACTCTAAATATAGACTTCGGCATTAGGTTGAGTTTTGCTATCTTTCTGTCTCTCATGGGTGCTCACAATAGAGCTACAGTCAGAATCATTTTTGTAACATGTAGCTTCCCTGTGGATTATACGTGGCTCTCAGGAGGTTCAGGGTCTTTCCTGTAATGTTATGCCAAGATATTGTCCTCCCTGAGGATTCCAGTGCTCCTCGTATACAACATCATCTTAATACTATCTGTTGTGTGTAATACGTTGCCTCAAGGCTAAAGACAAAAGTGCATAGAGGGGTTCCTTTGCCTTTTTTGTACTTCACAACATAACTGCTTTTTTTTCCCCCTGCTAGTATTGCACTTCACATTTTAAATGTTTGGCATCTCATCCTCTTATGTAGTTGTGGAGGGGGAAGGTGCAAAGTCGGCCAAGTTTGATAAATGGAACTAATTTGAAATACTAAACAGGAAAGAGCTCTCAGCAGGAGGTAAAGAAGAAATAAATAACAAAATAAAAGGAAGATGGTAAGAAAGGGATGTTGGTAATGAGGTTTATGGGCTTAACAATGAAGAAAGAGCTGTGTTAAAGAGCAGAACATAGAGAACTGGTTGTAAACATTGTGAAAGACAAATAAATACATCCATCCTTCCATTATCGTTACCCACTTCTTCCTTTTTGGGTTGCGGGGGTCACTGGTGCCCATATCTATTCATCACTGTGCAAGAGGTGGGTGACACAGGTCTCCAGTCCATCACTGGGACACATAGAGACAAACAACTATTCACTCTCTCACTCACACCAATCAGCCTAACATGCATGTTTTTTGTCTGTGGGAGGAAACCAGAGTACCCGGAGAAAACCCACACAGGCACAGAGAAAACATGCAAACTCCACCCAGAAATGTCCCGCAGCTGGGATTTGAACCGGCAACCTTCTTGCTGAGAGGCAGCAGCTCTACGAATTGTGTCACTGTGCAGCTAAATAAATAAAAAGTACCTTTTATATGTATTTTGTACACTGCCAGCTCTTTTTGTACCTTACCTTTAAATATTTGCCACTGAATATGTCAAGCATTTGCTCACCCTGAGCAATATTTACACTGAAGACAAACAGTTCCAGCACGCACCTCCTTACTTCGCCTTTGCTTTTCCTGACTTCCTGACACTCCACTTACATAGACACACAGCAGGGCGATGAAAAGGACTGCCTAATAAAAGCTAAACAAGAAGAGGGCTCAGGATTAGTTGCGAGCAGAGAAAACTGATGTTAGTGAGAAGTTTGACGAACGAATGGGGTGAGAGGAGGATCAAAGAAAACTGAAGAGATGAGAAGAGTTTGAGTTCACTTTGGGTAAGAAGGATTCAAAGAGGGGGGAGAAAAGGCAAATTTTGTCTTGAAAAGATGGAGGAGTCACCGTTAAGTAAGCAGACAAGTAGGTAAGAGTAGGACTAGAGCTTAAAAGTGAGATGAGAAAAATACAAAAAAGACAGGGAGAGACTTAGTTGGAGGGCAGCAAAGATACGATGTGTGCAGCTCATTGACATGCAGGGGACATGCTGGCTGCAGCTGCACCTATCAAATCACCACTTCCAGCTCTGACAGGCACGACCATTCCTGCCCATCTAGGGGCCTCCACCCCCCACATGCAAACACTCAATCCCACACATCACATTCTCACATATGCACGTATAGAGCTGCACAGCAGTCAGGCTCTGCAGTGCCGCATGCTCTTTGGTGCCAGCATCCTCACTCATCCGCTCCATTTCCTCTCTATCCTCTCTACTGACTCAGTAACATCAGACGTCTGCTTTTTGCGTAACACATACGTCTTTTGTTGCCAGTTCTTTTTCTTTTTCTTTTTTGTCCCCACATCTTTGCTTTAGTTTGTCATTGTCTGACGCTGGTGCCACATAAATTCCCTCAGAACGACAGACTTGAGCCTATCAAATCTCAGATTTGTCTTTTTTCTGTTCTTTGACTTTTTTCTTTCTCCCTAAAGTGACACGCAGCTAGAAAAATATAAAACTCTGCCACAACGTTCACATATTTTAGATATATTTTTTATTTTAGCTAGCAAATGGTGGCTATGCAGATGAGTTTGGATTTCACTCTCATGAAGATTCCAAGTGGTTTGTTTAATTAATATTATTTAAATACCTAGCATTATACCAATATATGCATATTGCCCAAAGACTTTCATGCTGATGAAGTTATAAGCCTTTTTGTCAATCAGTGTAAAGATACATTTTGTATGATCTCATTTAATATGGTGAGTTCTTGTATGATCTGTCAGCACTCTTAAGGATAACTCTCAGCTACTAGCAGACCAAATTTACCTTTGAGTCTACAACAAAGTTGTTGTTTCATTCAATCTTTATGTATTCAGGTTAGTCTCATTGAGTCATGGGTACTCATTTACAAGAGAGACTTGTTTTAAACAAAGAACACATATGAGGCAGTGTTGTAGTGCACGCGATACGCGGGCATACGAAGTATACCCACTAGAAAAGCTTAAGAATTTCAGCATATCTACTTAAGTGCTCAAAGATACATGACATATCATTAGACATGTGTCATTGATAAGTTAAACTGCAGTTAAAAGCTTCCATAACAATCTATTCATATGTGACGCTTATTACATTTGCTTATCCAGCAAATTATTGTTTAATTCTGTACTTACTACTTAGTGCTTGATCATGTTTTGCTTTGATACTGTTTTATAGATTCTACAATGTGTTTAATACAAAGCAAACTAATGTATAACGTTTGTTGTTCTTTTATTGAAATATCAGAGAATCAGAGAAATTTGAAAATGTTCAATATGTTTAAAAATCAAAATAAATTGACAATTAGTGTACTTTGGTTTCTAAGCACAGTATTCCCACTACAAAAATGTAGACTACACCACTGGTATGAGGTATGACAACAATAGACAATCATGTAAAAGTGTTTAAACTGAAAAGTAAATAAAATAAATAATATAAAAACAAATCAAAAACAGCTACATTATAGAACAATGTATACTACTAAAAACAGGAACATGTCCGCGTTGGTTTTTGCCATGACATTAGCAGTTGTTTAAAATCCCTTAGAGAGCTCGAGAGTCGAGAACGTCAAATCTTTTTGCAAGGTGTTCCAGGTTACAGGAGTGGAGTGAGAGAAGGCCTTTTTGCGAAGATGTCTTGGGAGTGCACGCTGTAGCTGCACTGATGAAGTGACATGTAGGAGGAAATATAGTAAGGCAACAGACCAAGAAGTGATTTAAAGATGAAAATGCATGATGTGCATGATAGACAGCGTCCAACAACCGCAAGGTGCTTGCAGGAGGATTCATGTAAATAATGTCACCATAATCAATGGAGGAAGTAAAGTATCAGTTACAAAGCATAGTGTTCAGAGTTGGATAAAATAAAACCAGTTTAAGTTT